CTGATCTCATTTTTTGATTGGGTAACCTGCCTGATCAACAGAGGGAATGCTATAGACATAGTATATCTTGACTTCAGCAAAGCTTTTGACAAAGTGCCCCATGATATCCAGATTAGCAAGCTAACTAGGTGTTGACTGGATAGATCAAGTGTCAGGTGGATACATAATTGGCTCACTAAAAGTGAGAAGGATCTTGGAATTCTCAAATATCACAAGCTGAATATGAGCCAACAGTGTGGCTACAAAAAAGGCAACTGCTATTAAAGGCTGAATTAACAGAAGTATAGCTTCCAAATCCTGTAAGGTGCTAGTTCCCCTCTATTCAGCACTGGTTGGGCCTCACCTTGAGTACTGTGTCCAATTCTGGACACCACTCTTCAAGGAGGATGCCAACGAATTGGAACAATTTCAAAGGAGGGCAACAAGGATGATCAGGCGTTGGAAACCAAGCCTTATGAAGAAAGACTGGAAAAGGGCAAGTTTAGTATTGAGAAAAGAAGACAGAGGGGTGATGTGATAACACTTTTTAAATACTTGAAAGGCTGTCATACAGAGGAGGGGCAAGATCTGTTCTTGATCATCCCAGAGTGCAGGACATGCAACAATGGGCTCAAGTTACAGGAAGACAGATTTCAATTGAATATTGGGAAAAACTTATTAACTTGTAGAGCAGTCAGTGGAACCAATTACCTTGAGAGGTGGTGAGTGCTCCAAAACTGGAAGCTTTCAAGAAAAACTTTGACAACCACCTGCTAAATATTTTCTATAGCTGAACAGGGATGTGAACCCAAGTCTTCTTAGTCCTAGTCTAACACTTTATCTGTTGCATCACACTGTCCTTTTCTACAGCTGTGTACCAATGTCAATGAAGAGCCTTTTCCAATGTTTCACATACCTGTTAATTATGGGGAAATATCTCCATTGTGGACCAGGTTTGGCAAAGTTACTTGTTTGGATTACAATACCCAGAATCCCCCAACATGGTCAACCAGTATCCATTGTTAAACCTTGGATTACAATACCCAGAATCCCCCATTGAACATGGTCAACCAGTATCCATTGTTAAACTAACTTTGCCAGGATTTGTTCATGGGTGACAGTGGTTGGGAGTGAGGCTGTGGGTTTCATGGGACTAACCTGCTCACATTTGCTTCAGTGTATGAACTTCTTAGGAAGTTCAGAAAGGAAAAAAAAACACCTGAATACTGGAGATTAAATATGTACACAGAGAGAGAAATCATGGATTTTCTAAAATAATGCAGTAACTTCAAGGCACAGGCCAGATTTAAATTGGGTCTCCAAGTTTACAGTTCAGTGACTGTGATCAGAGCTACAGGATGGCTTAAACTAGGGCCAACCCTGCCATAAGACAAGGTAAGTGGTCACCTCTGGTGGCAGGTGTTGGGAGGTGGCAGGAAGGTACTGAAGGAGACAGGCCGCTCAGGGAGCAAACTATCTTTGGCTACAATCCGTACAAAATAATTCCTGTTAAATATCAGGAAAAAGGCTAAAATATTCACTACTACTTTTTCCGGCAGCATGATCCCACAAGCAGTTCCACTCCCTATTATCTGAAGCCACATAAATATTTAACAGAAAAGCTACAAGGTAATTCTCTAGTTAAGAAATTGGTTTCATTGATTAATTATATTCAATACATGGGTGGCCTACAGATCTCACGTGATGAATAGTGCCTACATTTCTAATGATGTTTTCCTACAACGAATGATTTGTCAATACGGTTAAATGGAACTCCAGCTGAAACATGGTGTGATATATTTAAAACAAATGATCAGAGGCAATGAGAATTACAACGGACGTCTCTAGCTTCAGCTCCAGAGTATTTTAAAGAGACATCAGAAAGGAACAGAGGAGTGAAAAGTTAGGTAAGCGTAACGTCTTTTGCTGTACTCTTTTCTTTGTGGAAGATAAACAGCACAGATCTCAGGAACTGTGATTTTTCCAGCTTGTCAGAAAAATGTCATTTTGGGTTTCTATATGTGCTCTCTGTGTGTATGCACAGATGTACGCACATATTATATATATATATGTATTCAAGGAAACCCAAGCTACCATCACCTCTTCCTCTAGTACTGTAGGAGCATTAAATATACAGTATTCTACTGAAAAACTGAATGCCACATAGCTCTGATTTTATATTTAAGAGGATTTCAAAGGCTAACATCCCAGCCAGCAGTCTTTCAGCAACAATTTGCTCCTCCCACCCCACCCACCCCAAATTTTATTTTATATATTTATTAATTCCACTTCCACACTGCCCCATTACTGTTATCACTGTCTGGGTGGTTCACAATATACAATAAAGAGCACAGAGTAATAAACACAATGAAATACAATGAATCTTGTCACCTAGCTAAAACAATGAACCTACCTTTAAACAGAAATACAGACATCAAAATACCTTTGAGCATCTTAGGAAAATATTCCTTTTTAATCAAAATATCAGATGGCCCAAATGGTGATTCCTTCTTGGATTCCTTATAAACTCACTAAAGCAGTCTCCCAGGTGACAAAGCTCTTTTTCTGAGCCAAGGACAATACACATTCCAGAAACAGTACCTTTTTCCCCAAATCTACCAGCCTATACTGTTATCTTTATCACTAATCCTCACACTCTTCTCAACTAAGGTGTTCCTGCTTCCCTATGATCATCCAATGGCACACAAGAAGTACCATTAAAAAAAAATTTAAGTCAAAAATCTATGGTCAAATGCCATCTATTTCTTGATGACATCTTTACTATCAAGAACCTCTTAGTAACTGTTTTTAAAGGAATTAATTATTTGGGGAAGAAGTGCATTAACTATGTTAACATTTATTCTTAGAGGAGCATATGTCATTTGCAATGGATAGTCTGCTTTATTAGCACAAATGATGTTGTGTGTGTGTGTGTGTGTTTTTTTAAGAAAGAGAGAGACCGTTAAGTCTCATAAAATGCAGAATTTTTCTACAATTAGCTGCTTGCTTGAAAGCCTTGCTCTTTCACAAGTATGAACCCAGGATATAAAACACAACTCAAAGAGCATACTGATGAGAAGTAAGAATCCGCTTCACTGAGAGGCCAAATCTCATTTCTCTCTGTCTCTTTTTTTCTTTCCTAGTCTTCTTCCTCTTCTCTCAGCTCTAAAAATCACATGCCAAATATGTAATTCTGGCCCAAGGAAAGTAAGTTCCAATTCATACAATTCCTTGCAATACAGGGAAATGTTGGGTAGTCGTTTCCCACCATCATTTCCCCCTTCCAACCCTTCTTAGACCGAGAAAAACCTCTACAGAATATTTTTCCAGCTTTCTAATAATGGAGAATTGGCGAGGTACCCCCAAGAAGCTAGGCAGGGGAAGGGAAGACAGAATGGAAACGTCAAATATTATTGTGACAAAGAGCTTAGCCGGAGCTGCTGCCAGATCCAGAGAAAGGAAGCAACCTGAATCCAGGCTCTTCAAGAGAATGCTTTAATCTACTAGTGCCTCTTGTAGTCCGATAGCATATTTTGAGCACGTGTGTGTCTGTGCGCATACATGCACGTGCACTCACATCCACAAGCATCCACACACATCGGTTTCTATCCATCTGCTAGCAGGTGAATGGCAGCCACAGTACTTGGCTAGTAAACAACAAAACGCCTGATGAAGAAGAGCACTGTGTAGCTGAAAAAACTTAGACATTATTGTTCGTTCAAGAGAATACCACCTTTGCTTATCTATCCTATGTTTCCCCTTCTCTTTCTCCTCAACCCATCCCCTAACTCTATATTTCCTCTATATTTTTTCAACATCTTCCTTCTTTCCTTCCATCCCTGGTTCTTTCTCCCAGTCATTCTTTAGCTGCCAGGAACTAACAACTAGCCCTCTGCACAGAAGGCTCAGATACTCTAGTATTCTCCTAGTTCTAACACTCTACCCACATTAGATTACTTGCCCTCTTCAATGCTTTTAACTCCTTGTTCCACGTTGTCTGCCAACCCACATCCACCTCCCCAAAACAGAACATATTTTGCCTCTTATACACAAGCACGTACAGCTATCAAAGAGCTGGCCATTAAAGAGCCAAATAAATCTAGGTGAAGGAGAATACAAAGGCTGCAAACCCAAGCCAATAACCAGGGAAAGAGGTAGGTCAGAAATGCAAGGATTTCCAAGACAGAGGAGTAAAAGAAAGGGCATACAAGGGATGTTGCCTTAGAATGAAACATCCCACCCTTTCCGGGGAGTCCTTACTTTTCTGGCTTTTAAAGCAAAAAAAGGACAGGAATTGGTCTCCTGTAGGGCGAAATTCGGCCAAGAGCTTAATCCTACAATTCAAAGCCTTTATCAATCCATGTCCCCAGTTCCTTCAAGAATTCAGCAGTTCCCCAATTTCTCCATCCTGTTGTAACAAGGAGTGCTGAAACCACTTCGTCATATGCAGTATGCTTGTAGAGCTGCAGAACACAGCTTGGTTCAGTAAGTGAGCGAGTGCTCTGTGAGTGTGTGTATGTGTGTGTGTACAAGACTTTTTAGTTCCACTTGTCAAGTTCTCCTGGGCAGCCAGGGGTGGGGTGGGAAGAGATGAGCTTTTGAATGCTGCTTAGGTATGCTGTGTTAATGCAGACTGCTGGGGAAGATGATGGACACCCCAGAGAGGATGAAGGGTGGCAGGACTGGAGCTGTTTCTTTAATCAGAAGATGTTGGTGGGGGTTGTGTTGTGTTGTTTTTTTAAAAAAAATACCCAGCTATCCAATAAATGCTGTGTGGATCAACTCCTGAAATCCGATGGGGGTGGGGAGGGAAAAAGGAGGTTAATCAGATTTAACACCGGAGAGCAAGCAAAGACCACTGGGGTTATCAAAAGATGCAAGAGAGAAATTGCACTGGAAAAAAAAACGAGCCCTTGGAGGTAAGGGGACGGAGATGGCTAGGGAGGGGAGGTGATCAAGTTATCAGAAAGCCAAGATATATAACATGTCAGCGTGGGAAAGGACAGAAATAAACGCCTTACCTTATCAAACTACCCCTCCTTAGTACCTGATCTGCAGTCATAAATACTTGGAGATGAGGAGGCGAAGTTGACGGCTGGAATTTTTTGTTTTATATATGTATGGGTATAGAGGTACGGGAGGGGGGCAAGCAACGTTATGTCTTCATTGTCCCTCTTTGGTGAAGAGTCGACGGAAGAAGGTGGCAAGGCGATTCCTTAGTATCCATTAGCTCCCTAGAGGATCTGCCAATGTCTTGAAAGAGAAGCGGGGAGAGGCGGCTCGGTTTTGGAAAAAAAATAAGGAGAGGAGGAAAGAAAATCGAAATCGGTGTCGCTACATGCAGGAAGGGCTGCTGTAAGAGATGTTAACAGCCCCCTCTCAAAAAAAAAAAAGGCGCGGGGGGGGGGGAAAGAGAAAATGTGCAGAGGAGCGGGAGACCGAAATTTCAGAAGACGTGTCTCGCTACAAACTTGGCAAGCCGAACGGATGTCCAGGTCAGAAAGAAAAGCATTTGGTTAAAATAAAAAGTCGTTTGCGAAGGCGGGGGAGGGAAGAAAAAAAATCCCATTTCTATCGCAACGGATCCCCAGGCTGACGATTTTTTTTAAAAGCATCCTCATCCTCATGATCATCTTTTAAAAACCAACGAAGGAAGAGAAGAAGGAGCGAGGCGGGAAAGGAGGCTCAAGAGAAAGCAAGCAGCCCACACGGGTCAAAGGCGACGGGCGCAGGCAGCCCCGGGGAGAGCGCTCCGCCGGCCATCCATCCGCACGGCCGAAGGGAGCCTCGGCGCCGCTCCCAAAGCCGAGCCCAGGCTCTCCTGCAGCTGAGTTGCCGTTTCTCCCCCCCCCTCCCTCTTCGTCGTCGTCGTCTTCTTCGGCGGCGGCGGCGGCGGCGGCGGCTGCTGCTGCTACCTGTGGACCTGAGAGAAAGGCGCGGGAACGCTCCGGCGCGCGCGCACCTGCTCCCCGGACACACACATCGCCTGTGTCTTTGCTCCCGCCTGGCGCACAGCTGCTGTGCAAAAAAAGCGCACGGGGACGCGCGAGCGCAGAAGCGGCGGCAGGGACCGCGAAGAGAAGAGCCGGCAGACACGAGACCTAAGGAAGGGAACCTCCTGCGGTGGCTTCTCCCGGCGCGTCCCCGCCCCTCCCTTCCACACACCCCAGAGAAACCCGTGTCAGGGTGGGTGTCACTGCTTAAAGGACTGAAGGGGGTGAGTGGGGGGGGG